GCTGTCGAAATGTTCATGAGTGTACTTTACAAGCCTAAGAGGCTGCTCAGACCAGGGAGGGAGCCCAGTGTCATAAGCTTTATGTTGCTACTGTAACAAATTACCTCGAACAGCAACTTAAAACAATGCCAATTTATTATCTCATGCTTCTGTAGATTAGAAGTGGGACACAGGTCTTACAAGGCTAAAGTCAGGGTGTCCCCAAGGTTGTGTCCTGACTGGAGACTCTGGGGAAGAATTGGCTGCCATGCTCACTCAGTTGTTGGTAGAGTCCAGTTCCTTGCTGCTGCAGGACCGAGATTCCTGCTTCCTTGCTGGCTGTCACCCCGGGCTGCCGTTGGCTCCCAGGAGCCTTTTCGCCTGTGGGCTCCTCCTGCATCTCAGAGCCAGCCCTCTTGGAGTCTCCCTCCCTCCCTTCCTCTCTCTCTTCCCCCCCGGCTTTATTGAGATATAATTGGCATGTCGCAATTAAGTATAAGCTTAAGGTATACAAGAAGATGATTTGATACATGTATATATTGCAAAACAATTGCCACAATGTTAGTTACTGCCCTCATCAGTTCACATAGTCACCATTTGTGGGTATGTATGGTGAATATTTAAGGTCTCCTCTCTTAGCAATTTTCAATGTACAATATAATATTGTTAAGTATGGTCCCCTTGCTGCACATTACATCCCCAGAACTCACTCATCTTGTAACTGGGAGTTTGTGCCCTTTGACTAATATCTCCTACTCTCTCTCCCCTACACCACCCCAGCCCTTGGCAACCACCATCCTACTCTGTTTCTGTGAGTTCAGTTTTTTCAGATTCCACATGCAAGTGAGATCATACAGTATTTGTCTTTCTCTGTTTGACTTATTTCACTTAGTATACCACCCTCCAGGCCCATCCATGTTGTCACAAATGGCAGGATTTCCTTTTTTATGGCTGAATAATATTCTATCATGTATGTATAATATGTTTTCTTTATTCATTCATCTGCTGGTGGACACTAAGGTTGCTTCCATGTCTTGGCTATTGTGAATAATAATGCGGTGAACATTGGGAAGCAGATCTCTTTGAGATGGTGGTCTCATTTCCTTTGGATATACACCCAGAAGTGGGATTGCTGGATTGTATATGATAGTTCTATTTTTAATTTTTTGAGGAACCGCTATACTGTTTCCATAGTGGCTGCATTTATAATCCCACCAACAGTGCAGGAGGGTTCCCTTTCCTCTCCATCCTTGCCAACACATATCCCTTGTCTTTTGTGTGACAGCCATTCTGTCAGGTATAAGATGATATCTCATTATGGTTTTGATTTGCGTTTTCCTGATGATAAGGGATGTTGAGCATCTTTTCATGTATCTGTCAGCTGTCTGCATGTCTTCTTTGGAAAAATGTCTACTTGTGTCCATTGCCCATTTTAAAATTGGATTGTCTGTATTTTTGCTATGGAGCTGTGTGGTGCCTTGTCTTTCTTCTTACCTCTTCGGATGCTCTGCTTTTTGGGCCTCATGTGATTAGATTGGGCCCGCTCAAGTAATCCCAAATGACCTCCCTGTTTTAAGGTCAGTAACCTTAATTCCATCAGCAAAGTCCCTGTGCCATGTAATGTAACATATTCACAGGTTTTAGGAATTAGCGTGTGCACATCTTGGCAGAGCCATTCTGCCCACCGCTGTCTGGTACGTGTTGAGCCTTTCTCAGGGTGAGGTACTGTGCTGGGTTCTGGGAGGTCCGAGGTGAACACTACAAGTACTGTACAAGTACTCAAACTCTTTCTCTAGGGGCTTGGAGACTTGAAGAGCAAGGACCACCACCAGCACACCACCCCATCTGCAGGGCCTGAGACATACACCTGGAGGCTCTTGTGCCCTGTATGAAGCATTAGAAGGTACGAATCAAATCACACCCATTGTGCACCCAGCTCTTTGCAGTTTCCCTGGGAGATGTATAGGGTGTTCCCAGGATGGGGCAGGGCAGGGCAGAAGCCAGGTCCATGTCATGACTCTCCAGGGCACTGCGGCCTGGGGGACCCCTTCCCAGGCCTCACTTTTCAAGGTCCGATTTCCAGACTGTTATAAAGTCTTTCAGAGTACACTACCCAAGCCAAAAGGCAGGAGGGAATATCTCCTGTAGACCCTTATTTTGGGAGTTTGGGTGACCTGCTTGAAACCAGAGCAGCAGCCCCTCTTGCTCTGGTTTCCTGGGCAGAGGCTGGGACGTCAGCCCTTCCCATAGTCATATCCCTTCAGCTCCCATCCGCTGGCACGGGGTGGAGGGAGGATTGTGCTATCCTTTCCCTATTGACTCCCTTGCTCAATAGGTCACTGACCTCCAGAAAAAATTCTCAGGAGGCCAAAAAGAAGGACAGAGTACACATTTCAGTCTGTAATTCAGGCCCTTTTACAATGCTCACCCAGGGCAGGGCCCTCTACCCAACATGCCTTCAGTAGCTTCCGAGTCTGTCTTACCTGCTGTGATCCCTGCAATGTCACCCTCCTCTCCCGGAAAAGAAAACCCCACACTGGCCAGCACAGCCGTCCACCCCTTCATAGCCTTGGCCTCTAAGGTCGGGACTCTGCACACTGCCTCTGGGCTCCTTTTGGATGCCTGAATGGAGCTTGCTGTCTCCTCACGGCTTTGCAAGTGCAGTTTCTGCAGGTTGGAAGACAGCTTCCTTTACCTCCTTCCCTTCAAACACCTTGTGATCCAGCTTAGGGGGGCAGCCTCAGGGAAGCCCACCCACCGCCACCCTAGGCCGAGTCCTGAGTCCTGACCTCATTCTTGGGACAGTTACTTGGTTGGGCCAGAGACATCACGTGACTCACACATGGCGTTAACTCTGGGACGGCAGGGCTGAGAGGCGGCATCCAGGATCCGTAAAGCAAAATCCCGCAGGGTGAATGTTTTTAAATGACATTTATTGAGCATTTATTGTTTGCAGGTGTGGTGCTAAGAAGCACTTAACACCTATTAGCTCAATTAATTCTCACTACAACCCTGGGCGGGACATGCTTTTATCGTCCCCACTGGACAGAGAAGGAGACTGAAGGAAGCCGACTCACGCACCTTAACTTAAAAGGTCGGCAGCGCCATGAAGACTTCCGAGGACGGTGGGTGAGGCCAAGGCAGAGAGAGGGCTGCCAAATGGAGGTGACTTTTTGAAACACTCAGTCACTCACCCTCTTACCTAGTCCTTGAGAGAATATGTCAACATGGCTAGCTCCATACTTGGCCTGCTTTCCGTGTGTGTCTGCTTTCCGTGCGTGTGTAGTCTTGGAGCACCTTCCCTCATCAGCACAGAGATCTTCTTGCTCATTATCCACCCAATACCCTTTGTGGGAGAGAACAGTTGGAAACACCCAAATGCCCATGTAAGGGCAAATACAAATAAAAAAGTTTCTCCTTGGTGTCAAAAATGGAGACATCCCCTCTCCCTTAGAGAATTTACTTGAGAAAACTTGCAAATTCTTTCTCTGCTTCTTTCAGATATAAGCAAGTCTTTTAAAAAGCTGAAAAAGACTCTTGCCAGTTTTATCACCCAGAAACCTTTTTCTCAGGGACACAGGCACCATCTCTTTGCAGCTAAAACATCAGGGAAGCCAGTGCCCCATCACCCAGTCTGTGTGTGTGGGTAGGCAGGGGCAGGTGGGGGAAGGGGTTGGAGTGGCTCTAGGTTGTCAAACAACCTCCTCTCGTAGATATCCCCTTTTCCTGTGGACAAACACAGTTAGCTAACACAGATAGCCATCCCAATCACCAGGTGAATTCAGGGTGACCTATGTGACAAATGGTGTTGTCCAGTCCTCTTTCTTGAGGATTAGTTGTTGTTTGAGAACATGGATATAATAGGTTCTATCTGTTGGACTGTATTGAAGGGTGAGGTTTCTTTCTGCCTTTGCAATCTCTTTAGCACCACAATCTGACTTAATACTTATTCAGCAATAAAAATGTTTTCTCTTCTGCTTTTGTGGAGAGGTTTTTAGGTTGGCAGGAGATTTTGTTTTTAATTTCATCTCCAATTCAAATGTCTTTCTAGAGAGATGGCTAGTTACATATGGCATCTCCATGCAGTGGAATACTATGCGGTCACGACAAAGAGCAGGCTCACTTTCTCCATTTTCATTGTTGACTGCAAGTGCAAGGTACACAGTAGTTTACTAATTTTTTTGTAAAAAGACACTATCTTGTATTTGCTTACATTTGCATAATCTCTGCAAGACTAAACACAGAACTAAAAGTGTAACCAAGTGGAAAAGTTGGTATCTCTTCCTCCATATTGTATGTCTTCTTTGCTGCTTAGTCTTTGGGTCAAAAGAACTTCTGCTCAGCCCTGCAGCCCACACATAGGCTTGTTAACCATCAAAACGAATTTTGCTCATGGCTGAAGATTGATGCAACCAGCCCCTTATGCAAAACTCACTTACCCTGAGGATATAAAGTATGTACAAAAATGATGACTGGATTGTCAAGGACTTGGGGAACATAATGGCCCAACTTTTGTCAAGAAAATGACTGGAGTCATCTGACCAAGGACAAGGAGTTTCATCACCCTCCTCAGACCCTTGCTGACATCCAGATGTCTGAGTCGATTGTCACCTCCTGACCTCAACCCCTCCTGCTCCCTGCCTCCCTAATATAAAAGAACCTTGAAATCAACACTAAGTTAAGATGGTTCTTTAGGACAAGTCTGCCAACCTCTCAGTCCTCTGGCTTTCAGAATAAAGTCGATTTCTGTGCCTCAGCACCCTGTCTCTTGACTCACTGGCATGTCATGTGGCGAGTGGTACAAGCTTGGACTTGCTGACAAATGTGCTCATGTGTGTTAAGAGGAAATGGGAAGATGGGGGAGAGGAGAGGGATGCAATTTTTTTGCTGAACATCGTTTTATATTTTCTGATTTTTGAAACGCATGACTATATTATCTATTCAAAATAAATAAAAAAGGAGGGGTGGTGGCAAGCAACCAAAACAGGCCACTAAAGAAAAGAAATCCTGGGAACCAGATGTTCTCTAAGCACTTGATTCTATTCATTTCTGAGCTTATCCTTGACCCCAAACAACCAAAAATTGATTATATTGATACATTTTTGGTTTCAGGCTGGACTTTTTCTTGGAGGGCAGATCTTAGTGTAAAAGCAGGGATTTTTTAATTATTTAAAAAAAGTAAAGCAAAATAACAATCAGGTAGCTAATGCACTCCTCCCTCCAGTAGAGAGAACTGCTTCCCAGGGTCCTCGAGGTCCAGTGCTTGGCCTTGGTGAGGGGGGGACACTCACTCTCAGAGGCTTGGTGTAGCTCCTCCCCATGTCATCTCCCTCCTCTCCCAGGAGGTTACTTGCTCTCCAAGGAGCAGGGCTTCACAGGTCAGGAGGAGTGACAGGAAAGAGTGTGTGGGGTGCAAAGTCCATCCACACTGGGAACTGGGGAACATGCCTGAAATTCCACCATTAGCCATCTGCCCTCTAGAACTTCCTCTGTGAGGATAGTAAAGGAAAAAATGATACAGAGCAGGGGTCATCTCTCCAGTCCTCTGGCCACGTCTAGGTGGTGGTGTCACTCTTGCTGTTTCTGTGGGGGCATCAGCTCAGGAAGTGGCCCAGGAGGGTTTGCTCCATGTTGGGTATGCCTCCCTTTTATCCCTGTGCCAAGACCATGAGGTAGGTGTTATTTATTACAATCCCCATTGTATGGATGAGGAAACAGAGGCACAGAGATATCAAGTGACTTCCCCAAGGTCACACAGCTTATAAGGGCCAGGTCACTTTCCTCGCTGTTTCCCATCTAACACCTTATAGCCTGCCTTCAGCTGGATGTTGCAAATCAATTCTCTCTCAAGAAACCAGAGGAGTTCTGAAATGGTGGAATCGCAGGCCTGGTGACAGAGCTGGGGTAGGACCGCGCTTTGCTTTTCCATGGCCTGTGGGATGCCTGTGGTGTTCCCCACCGTTCCCGAAGCAAGGTTTGTGTTGATGGTTCAAGTACTCATGCTCTGCCACCCGGTTCCTCGCCACTTGCCCTCTGACCTCGGGTGCGTTCCTGGCCTCTCTGGGCCTCAGCTTTAGGCGTTAGTGGGGGCGGGTCAGGGCCTGTAGCGGATCTTGCCCCTCCAGGTGGCCTAGGTGGAGCATTGCAGGCTGCAGAAGTCAGCGGATGAAAAGAGCCTCAGGACGTTGACCAGCGGGAACATGAGCCCCGCTCCCAGCAACGAGCCCAGCTGCACCGCCGCCCCGCACCACACGAGGGCGCTGCGGCTATGGTCGCGGAGGATCACGCCCAGCATCACTTTAACGTAACTCAGACTGCCAGTGAACAACACCCACGAGACCACCTGCGGGGATGGAGAGAGGCAGAGTGAAGGTTTTTGGGGCAATCCTCACGGGCAAAGGGTGCTTGTAGGGTGACCTAACAGGCTAAGGCGACCCTCTGAGCTGAGCCCCTCAAGGGCAAAGGAGAACCCCATGACTTTTCTGGTCCCCATGGTCAAGTCAAGGGCATCCGGAGAAGGCCGCATGGTGGGGAGAGTGCGGCAGTTGGGGCAGAGGCTGAACCATCACCTTGGACCAGGCACCTCACCTGCCTAAGCCTCTGTTCCTAAGTGAGAAGTGTCCCTCCTCTCCCTGCCGCCAGCCAGGGCTTCCTGAGTGAGCAACTGCAAACACTGGTTACCTGGAAGACTATACCCCAGGTCTCCCCATGTCTTGGCTGGGTGAGTGGGGAAGGAGGAGGAGCTGCACAGGCCAGGTACTTACGATGAGGACTTCTCCACCCCAGTGGCCCTGCAGGAGGGGGCAGGGGCTCATCACAGCCATGGCCATGTTGTAGGCCCCAAAACTGGTCCCAAGCATTGTGAGGACCCCCAGGAATGTCAGAGACCTAGGGAAGAGTGGTGTTTGGTGAACGGAGGAGGTGAGAAAGATGACCTCTGCACCCCCACTCTGGGGGCCAGGTGGAATGGTCAACATCTCCAGGGTTAGACCTAGGTGGAAACTTCTAGGCCTTCCTACTCAAGTAGGTCAGTGAGGCTCCTGAGGAACACGGCTGGCTGAGGTCACCTTGAGCATTAATGGCGGGGCCCAGCATCCCAGCAGGAGAAATGGAGCAGACTCTGATGCTACACAGACCTGGTTCAAATCCCAGTTCCCATCGAAGCTGCAAGACTGGGCCCTGAGCCTGTCTCCTCACCCTGCTAGGTGAGTCTTGCCAGGCTTTGGGGACCTGTGGGAGCAGAGTGTGGGCCCTACCTGATATTTCACCTGCTGCCATTTCCTCCTGCAACACTACCAACCTCCTCTAAGAAGCCAGGCTGACAAGAAGGTGGCTTTGATCTTGGCATTGGCACTGAGCATGTGCTGTGTGACCTTGGTTGACCCCCTTCCCCTCTGTCTACAAGGTAACATTTGCATAATCTAGAGGGCCTGGTGTCTGGCTCAGATGTACTCTACTTGTGGCCTTCCATGTAGGCCCTATGTGTGACAAATGTGGACACCATCCTTCATTTGAGGTCTGTGCCACCAGGGTCTCCCTGTGCATCCTCTTCTGAACCCTAAGACTGATCTGCACTTGTGGGTGAGTGGAGGTTGTGCCCCTGTCTAAGTACTCTTAACGCTTCAAGATTCTTGGACTCCCTGACTCTCAGGTCATGTATATCTAACATTCTGGGCGTATGAGATTCCACAGGTCTGTTGCCTTTGGTCCTGCTTACCCAGAAATCTCCAGATTCCCTCCATGATGTTTAAGCCCTAACAGAAAATTCAGCTTTCTGGCAAGCTCACATTTTCTGTCTGGCAATCTGACATTTTCTAACTCTCCTGTCCTTATTCTCCCTTTTGTCTGGGCTGGATGAGGTGAGTACAAGCCTGAGAGGCCGGTGAGGGCGATAAGGCAGAGGGGTGGATGGGAGGCAGTGGGACCTGAAGTTTCATGACCCCAAAGTTTACATTTCTCTTACCAGTCTGAGCCCTTGCAGCAGAACCACTGAGGGTGCTTACTAAAAATTGAAAACCCACATCTCAACCTAGGCTGGCTCCATCTGCACTGCATCAGTTTGCCCAGCCACACTTCTAGAACTCTTTTTGCTACTCTAAGGGAGCCAGTGTGGGCTGGAGGCAGGAGAGCAGGGCTGAAATTCTAGGAATTAGACAAGAGAAAGCCCTTTCTCCGAGCCTCAGGGTTTCCATCTGTAAATGGGAGCCTCAGTTCCTGCGGCTTGCTCCTCCTCACGGGCCAGTGGTGGTGCTGGCTGAACACATCGGACCTGCTGTGCACCAGGCACTGCTCTAAAATCATTACAGTATTAGCCCATCTCATGCTCCCAGTGATGCTAGGAGGTAGGTCTAGTATTATCACTAGGAAGCTGCAGAGGAAGGATTTGAATGCAGGGGGCCGAGCCCTAGAATCCATATTCTTAACTACAGTACACACAGTCTGGTATGTGGGGTTTGGAATTCTGGCTTTCGGAATGAAATGTGCCCCCAAACCAGAGTTCCCCAAGGCTAGATGGGGATAGACCTGTTAGGCAGGAACATGGAGAGGAGGCAGGTGAGAGGGCTGGCCATGGAGCTGAGGGTGGCGGACAGGTGGTAGACAACAGGCCCATAGGACAAGCAGGAGTAGGTCTGCACAGAGGGCAGCACGCCATTGGTGAGCGCGTTGACAAAGGCCACCAGGGTGTAGATGAAGGCCAGGCGGGCTGAGTGGTGGGGCGCTGTCTTCTCTAGATCCCCCTGGCCCTTGTTGCTGTCCACTGGGCCTGGGGCCAGGTCCTCTTCCCGTGGCCGGATGGAGTGGAGGGTGACCTGGGAGGTGAGAAGGTCTTCTATGGAGGCTTCCCAGTGCCTGGCTTGACGCTGGAGGAGGAAAAAAGCCACGAAGCAGCAGGCCATCATGGAAGAAAGCAGGAGGAAGAAGACCAAGGGCGAGAAGTTGGCGGGCAGGTAGCGGCTTTCCAGGTGGACCATGGGAGACGCTGGCCCAGTGAAGTCAGACAGAAAAGTGGTGTTAACACCCTGCGGAAAGACAATACGGTCCCTCAGTTCCCTGGGTAATGTCGAGGCAGAGGGCACAGCAACATTAATCATGATGACATGTGATAGATATTATGCATTATTAATAAATAAGTGACGGACAATAAGCACATTCACTACTAAGGTAATAATAGACGCTCACACTGGCTGCTCATCGGGCACAAGCACTTTGCATGTGTCAGCGTGTGTGCACCTGTGCAGCGGGGGACCGTTATCCCAGGTTTGAGAGGGAACAGTGTGTCCTATGAGGGGTGCAGGGAGTATAGGGTGGAGTCCATCCACTGGCTTCTTCCTGACTCAGAAGCTGTACCTTCCCCCATGCTGCTGCCTGCCCTCCTGGTCTGGCAACTGAGAATGTTCTGGAGGAGCTGGCCATAGACTGCCCAGTGGGAGAACAGCCCCATCCAAAGTTATCCTGTGCTGATGTGGCCCCAGGGTGGCCAGATGTCTTTGCAAGAGATACTGCACATCTAGATTTATAGAGATTTCAAAAAAAATTAAATGTGATGAGCTAATTTCAACACTTAAAAAAAAATGCTTGAGGGCTCAAGTAGACACTGACTGGCAACCACTGCTGTGGTTTGGGTAATACCAGTGGTAAGTTGTCCAATAACCACTGAAGAAAAGTTTGACGTTTTTAACAAGGTATTGAAGTAATGGCTAGAGTCTATGGTTCTCAGCTGTAGCTGAACATGGGGAATTTTGAACTAATACAAGATTACAATTTTTACTTTGCAATTTTGAAATTGAAAAAAGTTCTGAAAGTTAGAAATTTTTCATGACTCAGTTGGCAGGAATGGAAGGCAAGTGGGGCTCTTTACAGCCCTAATCTGCTTACAGGGCATGAACACCCCTGGGCTGTGGGAGGATTAACACTGTGCTGAATAATCATACTCTATCAGATGGGGTAGGTGTATTCTCTCATCTGAAACTCTAGATTCCAAAACAAATCTGGCCTCAAGAATTGGAGAGAAGCCCCACCCTCAGAGTCTTGTGCAATGGGTCTGTGTGTGTGGGATGGCTCTCTGGTCTGTTTCATTTGACCCCCCAGGTGATCTAAGGTGCGGCCAGGTCAAGAACACTGGTCTACCCAACATATGAAGAACACAAGCCTTCTGCATTATCTTGCTGTGACCAGGCTCAGAGCCCTGCAATGGTCTGGGTAATGTTGGGTACCTGTGGAATGTCGGTCTTCCTGGTGGTCTCAGGGCTTGTGGTGGTGTCTGATGTAGTGACATTGACACAGGTGGTGAGACCTGAGCCCTGGGCAAGAGCCACCAGGGCAGGCAGGAGGCCACTGAGTCCTTCACCGATGAAGAAGGTGGTAAGGTAGTGGGTGGGCAGCCGGCTCATGAAAGGCAGGAAGGTGACAGAGGAGGTACAGTCCACCAGTGCCAGGAAAAAGGTGAGGACCATGAAAGTGATGCTGTGCTGGCTCCCCAGCACCCAGGAGGTGACGTTCCAGAGGAAGGCGAAGAGGGTGCAGGCAATGGTGCCCACACCCAGCACAGTGAAAACAATGGGCACCTCGGAAAGGTAGCCAGGCCGGAAGTGATGGAGCAGAGTGACGAGGAGGGGGCCGACATTGGCCAGCTGGATGACCACTGTAAGGTAGGAAGGCAGAAACCAGCCCTCGGGCAGCTCCGCCACCAGCAGAGGCAGCTCTACCCAGAGGCCATTGATGGCCACCCAGGAACCCATTCCGAAGGTGCAGACCAGCAGGTGTATCAGGAGGGCCATGGTGATGTCTGCCCTGGGCTGGAGGCTGCCACCTCCCCAAGTCAGCCTGTAGTGGGGCCAATGGAGAAAAATACCATATGAAAACGAATACATGACTATTAAAATTAAAAAAGGAAAGAAGTTCCCAATGAGGTACCTCCTGAAATCACCAGTAATATATGCACCATTTTGGAAAGAAATGTTGATTGGGCGAATCACCTCCTTTTACAGATGGAAACCAGGATGGAAGGGTGGAAGGCTCTCCTGAGACTGGGAGGGAGATTTGCTGCTGGCCGCATCTGACTCCCTTCCACCCCTTGGTGACACCTGATCCCCCAGTTCCACCCAATTCACCTGGTCTGTCTTTAACACCTTGTCTCCCTTCTAGAGCATGCAGGAGTGTCCCTTGTCACTATGCCTCACCCAGGAAACTCTTGACACTCCAGGGGCTCCCCCACATAGAATTGGGGCTCAAGTCATGGTTTCCGTTCCTACTTCCTCCACTGAGAAAACCCAATCCACCCCTGCCTGGAGCCACCTCCCTTTCAGAATGCAGCCGATCTGCTTTCATTCCCGCTCCACCATTTCCTGCTGGGGGCCTTAGGCAAGTCCCTTAAGCTGTTGTCTCACCTGTGAAGCTGGCCTGACAACTGGCACAGGACCCGCAGAGAGAGAGAGACGCTCCAGGCGACTGCCCCTAGCTTCTCTGCCCTTGCCTGCTCTCCTAGCCTAGGGCACCATCCCGCTGTCTCTGTTTACAGCACAGCTTTCTTAAGGACCCCATCCCCCAGGAAACCTCTGCCTGCCCAGCCCCGGCTCCAGGGTTTTCTCATTTGAATATGTGCAGGTACGTTTCCAGAGCTGACTGAAGCTTTTAGATGGCAGCAGGCAGTGTTGGAATCTGGCATTTTGAAGGCAGAAGAGCCTCTTAAGATGACCTAGCTCAGGATTTTTAAACTAGTAACTCAATGGCCACTGCCAGGCAGCAGATGTGTTATTTTGGTTTGCTGTGTGTTTTAAACAGTTAGTTATTGAAATCTGTAAGTCAGGAGGTGGCACACAAAACTCAGGATTTCTGGTTTCTCTGGAGTGTTTTGGAAGACAATGGCAGCAATCACTCTTGGCCCTCTTTAACTTGGGGCACCTGCCTGAGTCCTTCTGTAGGCACTGTGACCCCTGAGCAAGCCCAGACCTTATTTTTTATAGGGAGGTGTGGCCTTGTCAAGGGTCCCTCAGGAACTAGGGGCTGGAAATCCAGACTTAGTGCCTGACACATAGTAAGTGCTCATTAAATGTTAACTATTGATTATGACTTCAGTAAACATGTCAATTGTATTTGAAACATGCAATTATCCTGAACACACTACTGGATACAACACAAATAATTCATGATGGCAAAATTTTGTCATCACTTCCTCCTAACCAATCAGCGGGGGATTATTGAGCACCTACTTTGTGTCCAGTACTGGACAGAGCAAGAAGAAAAGCCATAGGAGCCATCCCCAGGGAAAAGTGTGAGGAAGAGGTGTGTGGGCCACAGAGCCCAGGGGCAATTACTGGCTGAGGCAGAGGTGGAGTTGTGGCTGCAGAGGGGCAGCTGGGACAGGGACAGGGAGGCGGAGCTTCCCACCCTACAAAGGCTACAAAATGGAGGCAGTTCCTCCCTGGAGGATGGAGAAGACTTTTTAAAAAGGCTAGGAGTTCTGCATAACTTCTTGGCTGCCCCCCACCCCACCCCCAATCAGAATCTGGTGTCAAGCATGCAGGATCCCACTGGAAAAACGCTACCCTGTGTCAACTCAGGCAGAATTCTGCCTGTGATTGGTGAAACAATATGGGAGGGGGAAAAAAAAGATAGGGCATTGTATGATACTCCAAGGCAGAGGTTGCTAGCTGCTTCCCATTAGCCACTTGTCCTTTTCTCTTCAGTTATAGAGACCATACTTTTGGTTGGGCCAATGGACACCAAGCTAAGGCATTACATTTCCCAACTATCCTTGTAGCTGTGCATGGCCATCCAATCAAGCCTAGGCCAATGAGGTTGTGAGGACTTTGAGAAATCTCCTTAAAGATAAGGCAGTGTGCCCTTTTGCTCTTCCTCCAACCTGCTGTCTGGAACTCAGATGTGATGGCCAGAACTCCAGCAGCCATTATGTACTATGAGGGATGGTGTAGGGGTCTAGGTGGTGAATAGACCTCCTTAGTGCTCTGAGGCACAGAACTCCCATACCAGCCCTGTTTTTCCTTCCACTGAACTATTTTGTTTATTTAATGTTGTTGTTTGTGTTGTAAATAAGCTTCTACCTCGTTTAAGCTATTTTTATTTTATATACAGCAAACACTGGGCAAGTGTACAGAGATGTGTGTTCAGGGATGTATATCAACTGATTACAGTAACCAAAAACTAATGAGCCCATTTACCTCCAATACTATCAATGTCCCAATTCAGAAACTTAGGTGGCCCACAACTAGGATTTGATAAAAAATCAACATTAAACAAAATTAATTGTTGAGATACACGTTAAAGAGACACCAAAAGGTTAGGAATAAACTTGGGGACAAAGGTCTTCCAGAGAAATGCAAAGAAAGAGATGGAGAGAGAGAGAAACAAAGAGCTCTGATATGGAATTTGATGTCAAAAGTATACATTGAGGCCCAGAGTCATTTCATATTCATAACAACTGTAATTCATAATGGAGTCAAACCAGTAGTGAAATGTACATTCTGTATAATATTGCCCCAAAGCCTCAGACATGTTGGGAGAAGTGAACAGAAGCACAGTCATGATGGGGCGTTGACTCACAGTTTCAGGCCTCTACAGCAGAAAGTGATGTAAAATAAACAAGGATACAGAGGAGGTGATAAGTGGTAATAAAGAGGGACAAGTAAATAATTAAAGGGAGGAGGTGAATTTGCAGAAGATGGTTACTTTTATCATTTGAAAAGCTTTTAAACTAAAGAGAGAGTTCAGCAAGGTAGCCATTTACACATTTAAAAATATGTAGTTCTCCTGCATAGAACCAGTTGTGACTGGGTCATCTTTTGGGAAAAACAAATAAAGCTAGATATTTCTTACTTCTAACCCTCCTTATGCCCCTGCCCCCCAAATCAATTCCTGTTGGATCAGATGTTTAAATATTTTTTAAATTGAAAAATAATTAAATGCCCAAAGAACATATAGGCAGAGAGAACAGTTTGTGCAAAGTTCCTGGGGGCAGGAAAGAGCCTGGGCCAGTATGGCTGGAATAGTGGACGTGATGGGGAAATGAGGGTAGATGGCAGGTAAGGGGTGTGAATTTCGTTGATGTGCGATGGGTCCTTTAAACTCAGAATTTGCCATGCAGCTGAGTTCTGATGCAAGTACCACAACAGTTGTGTAATTTCAGGCAAGTGACTTGTTTCCGTGAGTCTGTTTCCTTATCTGAAAAGCAGTCATCACGATGGTATGGCTGCCCTGCTCTGGCCTACTCCCAGTCAGCCACACCAAGTGCTATGTGCTCCTGAACCTAGGAGATGCAGGGACCCCACTGATGGGGTACACAGCCATCAGTGACAGCGAATGGAGGGATGCCCTAGGCAGAGGGAACTACATGTGCAGAGGCCTGGCTAGAACTAAGTAGTGACTTGGAATGACTGATACTCAGAAGTTGTTGGGGATATTTTTAAGAAATGCATATCTCTTTTCTGTTTGTTCCATAGTGGACTTACAATTCTTGTTCATTCATTTAACCAGTGTTTAGTGGGTACTTGCTATGTGCTAGACAACAATCTCTTCTCTCTTTGCACTAAGCAAAGGGCAAAGCAGCGATACGGAGCAAGTCAGCTGGGGTTCAGGGCTGTGGAGGAAAGCGAAGCTGCGAGGAGCTGGCAATCGGGAGCAGTGGCTACAATGGTAAATGGGGTTGTCAGAGAGAGCATGGAGGGAGTGTGGGAATGAGCCATGTCGGGCAAAGAGTAGTCCAGGGTGAAGGAGCAGCAAGTGTAAAGGCCCTGGGGTGGGGCCTCATCTGCCATGTTCCAGAAATGGGTCTTAGTATTGGAAGGGCAGCCAGGCAGCCAATGTGGCTGCAGCAGCGCTAGTGGGGAGGAGATGGGAAGGTCACATAGGGCCCTGTAGGCAAGAGTTTGGGTGTTTTCTTGGAGCCAAAAATTCCATTGCTGGGCAGAGGGAGGACCAGCTCTAATTTAGTTTTTAACAGAATCATGCTGGCTGCTGTGAGAAGATGATGTGGGGCCAGGGCAGGGGCAGGAGTGAACCTGTTGACTGGAAGCTGGTGTAGTAATCCAGGCAAAAAATAAAAATAAAAAAATAAAAATAAAAATAAAAATAAAAATATAAACAGGTATAACAACTACAAGGGCAGCTGCTATCTATTGGCTGCTTAGCCTGCCAGGCCCAAGGCTAAGCACTTCACACACATTATTCATCAAATCCTTTCAATATTTCTGATAGTCATTATGATTATGTCCATTTTATAGATGAGCTACTGGAAGATCAGAGAGGGAAAGTAACTTGCCCAAGGTCACCCAGCTGGTCATCTGGGAGCTGAGATTTGAGCCCAGGCATATGTGACTATGGACTCGTCCTCTTAACCAGCCTGAGCAAGGCCATCAGGCTGAAGAGGTTGTGAAGCAGCTGCAGAGGGCCGGCCGAGCAGCATCTATTTTCTGTCACTCGCCACCTCTGCAGCCCTGGGGTGGGAAGGGGAGAAATGGAAGACAGGCTCCTGAGAAGCTGAGAGGAACTCCAGGACATACCTGTCTCCTGGAGCCCCTCCAGTGATTGTAGGAGACTGAAAACCTAAGGCTGTGACACTAAGGTTTGAAACCCAAGATGCAAGATGCTCCCCTAAGAGATGGGAAAACAGGCAGAAGCCAGAAGGGCCACCTGGATAAAGCTGAGAGCCCCAGGCCCAGGGGAGTGCAGGGTGTGGGCTGGACCACCTCCTCCCCTGCCGGGCAGGATGGGCCCTGTCTGACCTTGACCTTCAGGGCCCCGGCAGCCTCCACCACCCTGGCCAGCTCTGCTTCCCTCCCTCACAGTGTGATCGGGCATCAGCCTGGTCACGGGCTCATCTGCGTCCATCTGCTGGGTGCCACTCTCTCTCCATGTGAGCAGGGCCCTGTCCTTTCTCCCCGTGTCCAAGTGGCCACCTGGTTTGCCAGGGGCTCAGCCCCCGACCGAGCCTGCCTCACCCGTGAGAGTTGAGTGGGTCAGGGCAGGGCCAGCCGGCAGCATGGACAACGGCCACATCCTGCTTCTGCACAAGGGTCTGGGTCAGTGTTGTCCCATGTTCCTGACTCCTGGGGAACATGGCCCAGAGCGCTTGGTGAGTCCTACAGGGACCCCACCCTTGTGAGATTAGAGCCCGGCAGATGTAGTCCGGGCAGGAGCAGGGTGGCTCTGAGGTGACAGAACAGGGAGACTGAGAGGATCAGAAACAAAAACCCTACAGGGAGAGACGGAGACAGAAAGAACCATGAGCTAGAAGCTGTAATGGGCAGAAGCAAAGACAGGGGCACAGGCAGGGCCCAAGGAGGAGCCGAAGCAGGGGGGCGGGGAGCCAGCGCCCTCAGCACTCCGCAACATGAGGCAGTCGCCTGCCCTGCCTCAGAGGCCCTCCAGGCCTCGTCCCACTCAGTGCTCCCACCTCACAGGTGTGGGGGACCCGAGGCCCGGAGAGGCGGCCATGCTTGCCCACCCCTCCCCGCACCCCCACGCCTGTGCTCACTGGCTCTGTGTCCTCAGGCCAGCTGCTCACCGTCTCTGGGCCTCAGTTTCTTGGCTACGAATGGGTCTGGGGAAGTCCAGGCTTGCTCAGCTTAGTTCTAGTGAGGAAGCAAGGAGATAACGGGAGCCCAGGCCCGCCAGTGGGGACTGTGAGTTCCCTTCCTTCTCCTCCTCCCTCCTGGGGCTTGGAAGGGCTTCCTGCCTCCCCCAGGGCTGACCTTGGTCAACCAGCCTACCCTCCGTGCCCATCCCAGCTCCCAGTCCCTGTGCCAGGCTGGTGAGGTTCCAGCCCCCACCTGGCAGGAGCGGCCATTTAGACATACCAACGGGGGAGCAGAGGCGGTGGGGGGCTGGGTGGGGGTGGGCACCCAGTCTTCTGGCCTGGGAAGGCCCTGGAGTCCGTCCAGCTGGCTCAGGGTGTCTCAGCTCTGACCCAATCGGCCAGCCGGCAGAGCAGGAGGACCTTCAATCTATCCTCGGGCCTCCCAACCCAGCAGCCTGAAACTGGCGGAAAGGCTACAGCCACCCCCTGTCCCCAGACAATTCCCCCCGCCCCACCCCTTGCCACTTGGTGCCTGGTGGTCCCTGCCAACGACCCCTGGTACCTGCTGCCCCCACAGGCCTGAGCCACTCAGCTCTACCCACTTACCTGCTGGTCCAGTTCCCAAGCCGCTCTGCACGGGATGGGCTGGAGCAGCTGGGTTAGTATTAACCTGTCCCCGCCCCTGAGGTGGAGGGAAGGAGGGGAAGGCTGGGTGGGGCTCCCAGCTCCCCAAGAGCCTACTGTGTGTCTGGAATCCTCTCAGCAGCCTAATCCTGATGGTCCTACTGATACAACAGTAACAATACACAGGGCTCATATTATCAAGGGCTTACCCCAACCAGATTTTATGAGGTCTGATCCCCTAGAAGGCAAAAAACCTGCCTAGGCAGTTGGCTCTGACCCCACCCTGAGGCCACTGTAATTCCTTCCACACAGGAATAGGGCTCCCTGGTGCAGAAACTCTTGGTTCAAATACTCACATAAGCAAGTCACTTGGAAAGTGGGGGTGATACTAGCATCCTCTTTCTAGGGCCAAAATCTTAACAGCCAGTGTGTGCCAAGCTGACTCAGTGCCTGGCACTGAGCTTGATATGCATTCATGTATTTAATTTTTACCACAGTCTGTGGAGAGATACTGTTACCATCTCACTGTACAAATGAGGAAATGGAGGCCCAGAGAGGTCAAGAGTCTTACAGAGTTGATCTCTGATGCCCACTGACTACTACTACTCTGACTGACAGTAATAGCTCACATCTGATGGAATCTTTCAGTAATCCCAGGCAGTAGACAGGTGCTACTTTACTACTTTACAGATAGGGAAACCGAGGCTCAAAGGGGTTAAGTGACTTGCTCAAGGTGCTATAGCAGGAAGTACAGGGTCAGGATTAGAACCAGACTCAAACTGGTCCCACATGGTATAAAATGTATTGCACAGGGCCTGGCACCTAGTAAATGTTCATTGCACGTTGACCTCTATGAATAGTACTGACCTGCTTTTTGTGTTGCTCTCCCAGACATGCATTTCCTTGATAAGCAATATCTCTTCAGGCCAATTCTTGGGGTGGGAGATGAGCTATCCTCGAGGGAGGAGACTGCCCCTCTCTCAGTGGGTAGGGGCTCAGCAAGTGTTGGTACCAAACACTCTGGGTTTCTGGACCCAAGAATTTGTTCCCTAGGGAGGCCTGGAGCATATCCTGCACCAGGGCTCAGCAGGGAGGCCACTCCCCAGGCCCCTCCAGACCCCAGCAGGATGTCTCCTGTAGGTGTGAACCACATCCCTGCTGAGGTACCTTCACTTCTGGTCACCTCACAGCGGCCTCTTACTTTATTTTCGTTTTATTTATTTATATATTTAATACAAATATGTTTTTATTACCAACCTTCAAAGGCTCTCTTGTGGCTCCCCAAATTAAGAAAAATGTCTACCCCTCACATTTATATCATTTCTCAGCTGGTACTGATAAACCTTGACAAGTTTGCCACTTGCTCTTTCTTATGTGTAGGCTTTGCTGTTTGCAGACAGAACTGCTTCTTATTTTCTAAGTATTGCTAGTACGTCTAAGCCACCGAAACTGCCACACAGATATTTCCATTAAAATATCCTTTCTGCCCCATTTCTTTCTGTCCCAATCCTATCCATATTTCAAAGTCAATCTCAAAAGAAGCCTTTCCTAATATCTCTAATATAACCAGTATATATCAGGAGCTTAATTAATGTTTGTTGCACACACAAATGAATGAAACCCAATCAAAATGTTCTCCCCTGCCTTGTCAAATACAGATATTTCTATAGCCTTTGTTGTTATTTAATTAACAGACTTTTTTTTTTAAGAGCAATTTTCAGTCTACAGGAAGACATTCCAGCCACATTTTTTACATACAAGGGCATTATCATCCACCTTGTTCTGAAGCTTGCCCTTCCTGAGAGTTTTCTCTGTCCCATACATAGAGATCTTCATTCATGGAACAAAATTCTATCAAGTGCCAGCTGTGTAGGACCCCAACCTCCCTGAGAAATAAGTTAGCCTAAGAGTGGCCATCTTGAAGCCCAAAAAGCCATTCTGATATATGACTCAGAGGGAACAACTGAAACCAGGTAACTCCTCTGGAAAAACAAGTTAATCAATCATGACTGCTGGCAGCGCTAACCTTTCAGTTAGTTAAGCATAAATGCCGACCCTACCTTGCTACACCCCCAGGACGTGGCACTAACCCAGAAATCGTAGGTTTGAAAAATTACTGCCTTTGTAGTATTGTTATCTTGCTATGTAGTATTGTTATCTTGTTATTACAAAATAATCTGTAACCATGGTAATCCTCTAGGGCTGAATGCCTCGGAAATCCTATATAACCCCTTAGTTAGAAGTGCTTGGGGTCCTCGTTGAGACCCGCTGCGTCGGGCTGACTTGGACCCCAGCTAGTTGGCTTCTGAATAAATTCCTCTTGTTTGTTGCATCAAGAAACGTCTTTGGTGAGTGATTTGGGGCGGCGCCTTCCTCAGGGGAATCCAACAGCTGTATGTCAGGCACTGTGAGAGGTGCTTGGGATATAAACTTGAACAAAATAGAGCCCATGCCCTTGGAAAGCTGACATTTTAGTAGTGCAAGATGGATGGTAAATATAATAAATAAGGAAATTATTTAGTATGTTACAAGATATGTTCTGTACAAAAATGATAGCAGGATGCGGGGCACCGGGAGTGGGGCAGGCAAGCTGCAGAGTGGCGGAGCCGGGAGAGCTCTCCGAGGGGCACAGAATCCCAGGCTGACACCTCGGGAAGGGCAGACACCTAGAGATGTCCCATTATCCAATGAACCCTGATGATGTAAACCAGTCCCCAGTGTTGGTTGTGTATCATTTGCCATCAAGAATAATGCTGCAGTAAACACCTGGTAATCTCATTCTGTCCATTTGCATAAACTTGTAGAATCAATTTCTAGAGTGAAGTACCGCAAACTTGATAGAGATCACCCAGTTAGTTGCCTTTGAGGCAACCAGGACCTTGAATTCCTCACAGAAATGCTGCTCCAGGGCACTCTCAAACTGTGGACTCCTTTGGCAGGTCATGAGGGCGCTCACATTCTTCCAAGAGAAATCTCAGGGCAGAGATCAATTAATTCCAGGCTGGGTCCCCCCGGGCAGGCCCTTGGATTATAGATGGGTGGGCAGTACTTCCTGAACCGGTTGATGGGTGAATAGTTCAGAGGCTGGAGGCGCCGCTGCAATTACTCAGAGCAGACACCAGGGGGCGCAGGGAGCTCCAGTCTCCGGAGATGACCCTTTTTAAGGGTATCTGGTGGTTTAGGACTTTCAAGGAAGTTGTGAAGGGCCTAAGTGCCAAGGTGGGAAAAAAGTGGGAAGAAGAGGAGTAAGGGTAGGGAAAAAGAGGCATGGGAAAAGACTAAAGAAAGGGACTTCCCAGTGTGCCTCCAGACCAGTTAGGGAGTAGTTTGCTCACATTATAATACAGCCGTTCATCAAAGCAAATACTATCTCACATCCATGAGTTGAACTCAGAGCCCAGAACAAAGTGGAGAAAAAAGACACAGGATAAATATGTACAGTATTACTCCATTGGTGTAAAAAAATTCCTGCAAATAAATGATACATATTCTTGAGGTGTGTGTGTGTGTGTGTGTGTGTGTGTGTATTTACCACAAATACACTCATAGGAAAAAATCTGGAAGGATGAATTTCAAGTTGACGATAGTTGTTATCTTGGAATTGTGTGTATGTGTGGAGAGGGTCAGGGAATGGGAAGGGGGATAGGGGGTGATCAAAATGGATTTTAGCCTTAACTGAATTATTTAAATTTTCTAGATATCTATAATCCTGCTAGGTGTGGAACCTGAAATTAAAAATGAATTTAGAAAAAGAAAAATGAAGAAAAAGACATAAAAGAAACATCTAATGCCATCTTATGTTGCATCAATAGAGGTCTTACATGCAGCTCAAGGGAGGTGACAGTCCTCTCTGCTCTGCTCAAAGCACACCTGGGACCTCCTTTCCTCTCCTTGGCCCTGTCCTGTGTGAAGAACAACAGCTCAAGGTATGCCAAGAATTGAGGGTGGGGGGAATTTTGGTGCCATTTGCATGGGGTGCAGATAGGGAAGCATGTCCTTTATGCAAACTGGAGGCACTGGGCTGTGAGGAAAGCAACTTCCAGGTGTATGTAGCAAATGGAACCCTGTAGTTAGACCTCTGTTGGGTGCAGGATGGCGGGAAGTCCAGTGCAGGTGGGATAGAGATTTCCCATCCTGCTAAATAGGGATGATATGGGCTAATTTGAGGACTTGGGAGTGCATAGACCTAGAATGTATGCAAGCCTAGGCAGTGTGATGCTTCCTAGGAAGGTAGGAATGTCCAGAATGGACTCCTAGTATCCTATGGGATGGTGTGGGGGATTCCCTGCCAGGCCCATTCAGCTCTGGAAAATAATAGCTGAGAGACCAGAAGGGGTGGCTGTTGAGATGGAGATGAAACCTCAACCTTAGGTAGGCCTCAGTTAAATGGGTGAGGGGTGTAGTGTGATGTTCTGATCTTATCCAGCTTGGAATCTTCCAGGGTGCGCCCGTCTGTGGCTCATGGTCCTACAATTTGCAGTCCCACAAATTGCCACTAGAGGTCGGATCTGACTGGCTTGAGAAAGAAAACGCCAGTCTGGTGTGAAGGGGGACCTTGAGACTGGAACTAATTTTTTCCTTTATTTGCTCTTTCTCTTTCAGTAACTATTGATTGAGGTCAACCCTGTTCCATGCCCTCGGGTAGCAGCAAGGAACACTGCCTTTCAAATGGAGGGTGGCTTTCTTTCTGACTCCTTTTTCCTTCCACACCCCATGTCTGATCCCTTAGCAGATGCAGAGCTAGGCCACCCTGTCCAGCCTCCTTCATGTCCTGCCTGGACCATTGCTATCCTACTTCCATGCTTTCTCTCCTTCACCCCCTTTTCAGCCAAAGGGATGTTTTTGAAACACAAGTCAGAGCCTTTCCTGTTTCTGCTCACAACACTCCCAACCACGCTCAGTTCTCCTACCTGGAACCTACCACTTGTGTGGCTCTGCCCCCATCCACGTGACCACATCTCCCTCCCTCCTGCCCCATGTCCTGCCTTCCGGCCACACTAGCCACTC